TTTATGAACCGCACCGCCTTCCCTGTCATAACTGCAAGCGTACGAGCCGCCCGGTAGTGGGGGCAGGGCCAATGGTGGGGATGAGACGAGTCACGCTGGTGGGGGAAGGGTGATGCGTGACGTCGTCGCGACACTACCTACGCCCAGGCCGGCTCTTTACCAACCGATCAGTCGGTTCTCGTCCTTTGCCGGATGACACCGGTCGACACGCGGACGTCCGTCCGATACACAGACCAGACGGAACGGAACGAAATAGAAACGAGACCTGGCGAAACGGAGGATAAGGGAGAGTTTTGACGCGCCACCGCGAGTCGGCGCCACGGACCGGGTGACTGTGCGCGGACCGGTGGAGACATGCAGCTCATGAGATGGAGCATCACGCGTCGGCTCGAATCCCGTGGCATCAAGCAAGGCACCTGCAGGCAATCCAGGCTCTCTTGTCCCCAGTCTTCTGGTACGGTTCAACCCCTTGTAGATCCGATGGTGGGCATGGTGTACCGGTGACATTGAAAAAATGAAGTAGGGGAAAACATGAAAAGTAGATAGTATAAAAGGACTCTGGTAGCACTATGGTGCTATAACAAGTTTCTTTTTTTTTCCAAATGGAAAGTGGTTTTTTTTAAAAATATAATTCGTGTTTGAGGAACTCTGGGCGAAGGTCTTTATCTTTTCGAGATGGCTTTATGGGACGGAATGGTTCCTTCGTCTTCGCCTTATCAGTTGAAAGAGGCGGTTGAAAGTGTGGATACATGGTCAGAGCCATTACTTGATGTTAAAATATAAATTTATGATAGTGAATGGTAGGTAGAAAGAAGAAATGTTGGAAGAGAAAGAGGGGTGCATTTCGTTTGGGATCTGCTAGTGGATTCTTTAGTAATAGTTTTGTAACGCATCATACGCAAACATAGATATTCACAGCTTTCTAGTTATGGACTGTATTTTGTTGGATCTTGGCAAGAGGTTCTAGGTCACCTGAGTGATACGTTAACTTTCGTTCAGTGCCCGGACAGCCCGCCGGAAATGGTAATCGCGTGATTTTCATTCTTCGCCGGTCCCACCTGTGATTATTAAAAGTTTCCAGTAGTACGGGTTCTATGCAACTACGACATGGAATACTAATGGTTGAAGAGTTCTTATCGTCTGCGCGATTGTAGCGTCGTTCTTACCAAGGTCTTCGTTACTGGCTCACTTACAGCTTGTTGGTTGTTGTTATTGAAGATTGCTGTTAGAATTATTCTCATGAAACTGTCGTAGTTAAATGATTAAGTGTGAAAACTATGTGAGCTGATTTGATATGTAAGCTTTCGACACGAATAAATAAAATCGACATATCGGCTCATCGCAGTTCTCGCGTAAATATCCAGAGTCGATAGATCCATGCAATGAGAATAAAATGGTTGAGCTAGATAATTAAGATTCCGGAAGATATTATTGAAACTGTATCCTGAAAATGATAACGGGATTTTCTATTTTATAATATTTTATAAGTTTAACATTACTTATGTGGAATTTAGTATTATGGTGTTAGAAAATAGTTTCATTATACAATGATTTAGAGCACACAGCAAACATTGGAACGTGCAATTCAAAAATATGTTTTTCTTGTGGAAATATTTCATGTGAAACAAGTTTCATTATGAAATGGTTGATCCAAATCAGAAGTATCTGCGTCAACAAAATATTTTTATTAAGGGGTAACGAAAACCGGTGAACAATAAGACAATAAATAAATGTATAAACGAATGATAATGTAATACATTTAAATATTAAGTAGTAGACATATCTTATTCAAAAAACGAAATTTGGTTAACTCCGAAGCAGGGAGACCATGAATGGTCAAGACCCTGGATGTCCAAGATCGTGGATAATCGTGATTCTACTGTACTCCATAGTTAGTATTAATGAAATCCAATGGTTAAACTGAAGCCGGAGAATCGGCGATCAGCGATTCTATGATAGTTTCGCGTCAGTATTGCCAAGTTTTTACTCCGTTTCAGCCTTGCCGATAGATTTAATCGTGAAATGAAGCCTTACGATCGCTTCTTCGTTTCGCGCCGAGTCGTTTCTTGGATAACATTATCTTTGAAACTTAATCTTTAAAAGTCTAAGTCGTTGCGAACTCTTTGGATCGTTAATGCCTCTGTTGACGGCTTCCCTGAGCGAATACCTTTCATCTTCGTAAAAAATTCTTGGGTTTTCTTCTAGGAAAAACGAGTTCTTTCTCGCCGGAAGTGTCCCTTTGATACCTGCTTCGAGATCTGACCATTTTCAAATGGTCTCCATTATTGTCAACCGAATCGTGAGAATTTGCTCTCCACGATTACAAAAGTTTATTGTACACGCAACGAATACAAAGCGATCTTTTATGCATTTACAACATTACATTCAGAATGCGTAAAATTTTAACGAACTTTCAAGAAGTTCGTGTTCCTTTACGCTGTAGAAACGAAGAAAGTTTTCGTAAATTAAATAGAACGGATATTATCTGCAGAATTAATTGAGAATTAGACAAATTTTCTTATAATATTTACTCATTTGTAGAATGTAATACAATTACCCTAGAAAACTTCAATTTCTTGCCGTCCGTTCCGAAAGAATTACCTTCGATTTCGTAGCATTTTAACGGACATTAATTATACAATCAACATACTTACTAATCTATAAGATTTTTTAACCGCATTAATAATATCTAAAATATTTCTGTTACAGGAGAAGAAAATGACTTCACGTCGGACGGCGAGGAGAGCGGCGGAGCAGGAATCGGCGGCGACGAGGCCGTGGATCTCACCGCGTCCAGGTCGCATCAGGGCGACGAGGATGATAAGGACCAGGACGACGCTTTGGAGGAAGACGAAGAGGAAGGCGTGGACGAACAGGATGAACAGGAGGACGACGAAGAAGGCTCGCGTAAACAGATGCGTCACCGACAGGACGCGGAGAATAACAACAACTTCGTGGAGAGCGGCGCGGCCGCTGGCCTCTTCCCGCCAGCCGGGACCAGTCACGTTACCCTGGAAGCGCTGCAAAACACGAAGGTGGCGGTCGCACAATTCGCCGCGACAGCGCTAGCCGGTGGCGCGGACAGCGAGGCAGCTCTGCAAGACCTGGCGCTGCTGCAGAGCACATTGTACACGTTGCAACACCAGCAGGTGTTCCAATTGCAACTAATCAGCCAGCTCCAGCAGCAACTGTCCATCACGCACAACCAGTCGGTGCAGCCGCAAACGGTGGGCGAGCCCTCGGATAACAAAGAAGTATCCCCGTCGCCGATCATCCACCCCAAGCCTCTGTCAAGCCTGACGTCACCCCCGTCATCGCGTCCGCCGAGCCATCAGCAAACCTCGCCGGCTCCTATGACGCCTAATCTGTCCCAAGAACGCCCGACGCCGACCAGCAGCGCCTCGCCCTTGAATCTCCCGCTACCTTCGTCGAACGTGACCGGCACTACCGCCGCCAATAGCAGCAGCAGCGGCAACAGCGGCAGCCAAGTGCCGATGTCCCATCAAATGCCGCCCCTGTGCTCCATCAGCTCGTCCCTCGCCTCGTCGATCATAACCAACACCGATCCACCGCCGTTGCACGAGCCAAACACCCTGGAGATGCTGCAGAAGAGAGCCCAGGAGGTACTCGACAACGCCAGCCAAGGTCTGCTGGCGAACAACCTCGCCGACGAGCTGGCGTTCAGGGGCGGCAAAGGGTCCCGCCCATCGCCGTACGACTCGAAGTCCGGCGGCGGCCGGGGCGAGCCGTTCTTCAAGCACCGGTGCCGCTACTGCGGCAAGGTGTTCGGCAGCGATTCGGCCCTCCAGATCCACATACGATCGCACACAGGTGAGCGACCCTTTAAATGCAACGTCTGCGGCAGCCGCTTCACCACGAAAGGGAACTTGAAGGTCCACTTCCAAAGGCACACGGCCAAGTTTCCACATGTTAAGATGAACCCGAATCCCGTTCCGGAACACCTGGACAAGTACCACCCGCCCCTGCTGCAGCAGATCGCCTCCGGTCAGAGACCGATGCCGTCACCGCCACCGCCGCCACCCACCTCTCATCATCCCACGTTTCACCCGGCGGCGGCGGCGGCACACGGTTTTCTACCTCCTCAGCCACCCCTGCCGCTCAGCCTTGCCCTGCCCGGTATGCCGCCCCTGTACAGATCGCCGGTAGTCGCTGCTCACCGGGACGACCAGGACGTACCGGAGAACCTAAGCAAACCCGTCACTACTGCCCCGACCACATCTTCTCCACATTCCCCCGCGATTGTGTCGAACTCTCGTCATTCCTTTCACGACAATCACCAACAACAAAAGCAGCAGCAGCAGCAGCAGCAACAGCCGCAACAGCACCAGCAACAGCAGATCGAGCAGAGGGACGAGATCAAGCTGGAGCATCGGTCGCCTATGCAAGAGCAGTACCACCAACGGCCGACGAGTCGAGAGGCCGCTGAGAGGATAACCCCAAAAAAGGAGCCGGAAGAGGCTGAGGAGCCCACGGAAGAGGAAAGCGAGGACTTCGAGGAAGCATCCAGGAGGTATTTGAACTCACCCCAGTCGTCCGTGAACCCGCTCTCTCAGCCGCAAACCTACGAAGACTGCAGCATGGACAGCAAGATTAGCGGAAGGTTAGAGGCAGACGGTGACATGGAAGTCGACGAGGAGATCGAGGAGCAGCCAGAAAACCTATCCAGTCGGGGAACAATGAACCGTCTGCCGCAGCAGGTCGTTGCTTATCCAGGAGCTTCTCCAGCCAGCAGTAGCGCTAGCAGCGGCAGCCTTCAGACGTCTTTCGCTGGAATCCTCTTTCCCGGTCCACCAGCCCATCACCAGATACCCCACCACGCAGCGACCTCGGCCGTAAACGCGCCCGCGATCTCCGCCAACGAAATGATTGATCCCGCGAAGGATCCGGCCATTTATTCCAGTCTCCTACCGCGACCGGGCAGCAATGACAACTCCTGGGAAAGCTTGATCGAGATCACGAAGACCTCGGAGACGTCGAAGTTGCAGCAGCTGGTTGACAACATCGAGCACAAACTGACCGATCCCAACCAATGCGTGATCTGCCACCGCGTCTTGTCCTGCAAGAGCGCGCTCCAGATGCACTACAGAACCCACACCGGTGAACGACCGTTCAAATGCAAAATATGCGGTCGCGCATTCACCACCAAGGGCAATCTGAAGACGCACATGGGTGTGCACAGAGCGAAACCACCACTGAGGGTACTACACCAGTGCCCCGTCTGCCACAAAAAGTTCACGAACGCACTGGTACTGCAGCAGCACATACGCTTACACACGGGCGAGCCGACTGAGCTCAGCCCGGAGCAGATACAGGCCGGCGAGGTGAACGAGTTCCCGCCCGGTTATCCTCACCACCCGTTAGCATCGTTCCTACCGCAAGGGTTTCCGCCGATACATCCCGCCAGCGCGGGATTTCCTCTAGGTTTTCCACCGAAATTGGAGCTGAAAGAAGACATCCAACAGCAACAGCACCAGCAGCAGCAGCAGAGGTACCCGGGAGATCAGAGTGAAGAAGCGGAGGATCAAGAGGACGAGGAAGAGGATCGTAGGGAAGACGACGAACGATGTGACGTGAACCGCGAAAATCGGTGCGAGCCAGAAGACGAGCATGATCACGAAAGCGAGGAGAATGATCATAAGGACGTCTCTTTGCCCAGTTTCTCTACTTCCCTCGCGGCTCTAGAGAACCAAGTGCGGACTATCACCACGATAGCTGCTTCGAGCGCAGGGAACGCCGGTAGGTCGCCACCGTTTCACCGGTACAACGGCAGCGAGAAGAGCAGTAGCCCGCCGAACCCCGGTGCTCCCCTAGATCTGACCCCAAGGGCGTCCTCGACTCCAGCCACCGTGGCATCGATACCGACGCCGCCGCCGCCTCCTCAGACGGCTCCGACACACCATCCACACCCATTCGGCATGTTCGCAGGCCTACTGCAAGCGGTCTCCTCGTCGCCATCCACCAGCAGCATAGGATCCACGAGCGTGAATAGTGTCAGTTCGATGAACGCTATGACACCGGGATCCGGCGCCGCTGGGCCCCTGGCGTCGCTAACCACGTCGGCCGTGTTGGCTGCCACGTCCACCTACAATCCGCTCGGCCTGGCTGTCGGAGGGCCAGCAGGTAGGCGCTGCTAGCATCAGGGCGAGCTGCAGTTCCTGCTACACCTCCCGATCGATCTGACACTGATTCACTGATCCTCGACCGAAAGACTGACTGATATATATATATAACATATATATTATATATTTGTCCACCTTAAATCCAAGCTCTCTGTAACTATCGACATCCTGTTTGTGGTGTAGCCGGACCTAGCACTCCCACCCTTCCACTTTTTGACTTCGTTATTATCGTCTCTATGTATACACCTATTTCTTTTCGGAACTTCTCTCTCTCTCTCTCGCTCTCGCTCTCTCTTTCTCTCTCTCTCTCTCTCTCGC